GAGATAGAGAGAAAGAGCATAAAGCAGCGCTTCGCGTGTGTGCTTCTTTGCTGTCGGTGTTGTGTTTATATCTGATTAATTGATATGTGGGGTTTAACGTCCCAAAACCACTATATGATTATGAGAGACGCCGTAGTGGAGGGCTCCGGAAATTTAGACCACCTGGGGTTCTTTAACGTGCACCCAAATCTGAGCGCACGGGCCTACAACATTTCCGCCTCCATCGGAAATGCAGCCGCCGCAGCCGGGATTCGAGCCCGCGCCCTGCGGGTCAGCAGCCGAGTACCTTATCCACTAGACCACCGCGGCGGCGCTGTATTTATATCTGTAAAAGACGATTCAAGTTGAATGAAAACTAACTAGCCTGACTCAAATTTCGCCTCCATCGTGCAAAAACCATGCTCTTTCACCTTCGCCCTGATCTGATCGGTCAAGCTGCGGGGTAAGCTTAGAATCAGAGCTTCCCACTGTAATTGAGTTCACTGATTTATTCGTCGCTACTTTGCAAACTGCTGCCATCGCTCCTAGCTACTCTAATCAAGGCTGATCAGATTTAACAGAGACTAAAGTGGAAACCTTTCTGTGGCGCTTCTAGCATGGCAGAACTAAAATATTTAAAAAATCACAGCATATCCACGGAATGAATGATCATGAGTGGGGCTAAGCGACCGTCCGTCCATCCGTTCGTGTGTCCGTCCATCCGTGAATGCGTCCGATTGCGTTCGAGAATGTAGACAGCGCGCGGGTAACACCTACGAGACGCGAGCCAAGGAAGCCGAGCGCAAGCGTCTTGAATGCGCCCATTGCTCTGTTTCGTCCATGCCCCACCAACGATCCGCCACGTACGACAACGATCCAGAAACTGAGAGAGGCACTCATTCCCCGCGCACTCAGGCAAAGCGCGCGCAGCAGCCAATCGGAAAACAGCGGTACAGCGCCACCTAGAATATCCTCACTTAACTGCAGTTTGTATGTACTTCTATGAGACAGTGCCTTCTATTATACTGTTCGAGTGATACTGCTTTTCTTTCTTTTTCGTCTCTTCTCTCGGTTACGCGTGAGGCGTAACAAGGTTAAACTAAGGGATTCTTCGCCCTTGAAAGATTCGTCACAATCACCGGCTCACAGCAGTTTTGACAAAGCAGTGATAACGCTATTGTTTTTTGGTGTAAGGAAATGGTTTTCCTGAAGGAGCAAATGCTCGGACTGGTCCATAAAACGATTGCTCGTTCCTATCCACAACAAAGCAAGCTACAGTCCTAGACGCTTACGCGCCTTGTAATGTATCCTGCTTTGCAATGTTACAGTACAAGGTGCGAAAGCATCACATATGCAGCCCACACCACAAGGAACCCTCAAAGACAATCATCACAGCAGAAATTTTGGAAAAATTTCACTTTATCAAAACATTCCCTTGTAACATTTTCATTTCCTCGTAACAATATAATTGAGTGATTACTGTGGTGAAAGAAAACTTTGCTTTAGTTGTTAGTTTCCCAAGCATGCAGCCGACAGTGACCACTGTCAAAAATGGGGGAGCTCAGCCCCCCCCCCCCCCCCAACTTTTCTCATTGGGGGGCCCCCGGCATATACGCCTACGTCTGGTGGTTGGACAGCGAAGTCTAAAGCCATTTCCTCATCTAAGGTTGAGAGAAAAATGATTCTTGATAATCAGCGTGAGTGGGCTCCTGCGAGAGCCTTCGACGAGATTGTCACGATGTAGGACGACATCTTCGTCTAGATCTTCGTCATGGGGCAAAATGCTCGCCTGTACATAATGTAAAATAAACCTATGTACAGTTTTTCTCATCAGTCCGAGTACCCGTTGCCGGTAACGGCAAAGTCCCGAAAACTCAAAAATGGCTGGCAGCACTGGGATCTTTGCTGCGAACCATCGGATTCAACACCATCCTTCTCCATAATAAGGAGAGTAAGGCGTCGTGCGTCGTCGTGGCTCGAAAACGTGACACGACGTCAGTGCTACGTCATAGGTGCGCAACCAAGAATTCAGCAAGGCTTCTCCTACATGAGCACGTGTCATAGCGGCGCGGGGAGGAAGCGTGGTGAGAGGAGCACCCTTCCCCTGGCGGTAAACTAGTATAGACCTAACCTAACCTAACCTAATCTAACCTAACCAGATGCTTTCCTTCTGGCAATACCGCTTCTTCCGGCACGGCTGAACTCGACCCCCTCTTCTGCTATCTCATACAGCCTGAAATATTATTCTCTAGGAATAACAACTTATTCCTGGAGAACAGACAAGATTCCAAGGAAAGTATAGGGGATGTTATTAGAAGTAATTGTAATGTAAATGTGAAGAAAGAAAAGTGGACGAAAATGTAACTTGCCACCAGCAGGGACAAAATCTGCGGCCTTCGAATAACGCGTGCGAAGCTCTACCACTCAGCTACGGCGGCGGTGATTCCTCCGTCCAGTTTCTAGGATGTATATCCTTTAAAGCTGGTGGCGTCAGTCAGCGCCTCTAACTTGTGTTAAATCAAGTGCTACGTGACGCCAAACAGGCAAAAAAGAGTTCTATACTCTGCGTAAGGGCTGCTGTTGGGGCTGACTGACTCTCCCAACTTTAAATGCACATATATAGCATATGATGCGGAAGGAGGAATGACTGCCGCTGTAGCTCAGTGTTATAGCATCGGGCGTGTTATCCGACGGTCACAGGTTCGGTACCTGCCGGTGGCAAGTTATCTTTTCGTCTACTTTTCTTTCTCAACATTTACATTACAATTACTTCCAATAACATCTTCTTCACTTTCCTTGACATCCTTGTCTGTTACTCCTCTTCAATGTTGTGTCTCACAAAAAAAAAACCGAACCAATAAATTTACCCTTTTTTTCTCTTTCCTGATGAATTGCTCAACGGCTCGCGGCTTGATTTTGCCTCTACCTGATCGTGTACGATTATGAGAGACGCCGTAGTGCAGGGCTTTAGCAATTTCGACCACCTGGGGTTCTTTAACGTGCAACAAAATCTGAGCACACGGGCCTACAGCATTTTCGCCTCCATCGAAAATGCAGCCGCCGCAACCGAGATCCGATCGCGTGACCTGCGGGTCAGCAGCTGAATACCTTAGCGACCACCGCGGCTGGGCTTCGTGGCATCTTCCGCCGATGGATTAAGGCAACCAACAGCGTACCAGCGTATACATGTCATATCTGCAACGTGGCTTGTTTGTTTTACACATACGCAGGTTCTTTAGCATGCACAATTCTTGTGATCTTTTGTTTTAACAGAAAGAAATGACGCCTAGTCATGCCAAAATGATTACATATTGGTTTTATTGAATGGTCACAATAACTAAAATTTATTACACTGCACAAAAAGGTAATAGGAACAAAAAAATCTTCGGACACTCCCTGCGTTATGTTCTTCGTTTTTGCATTATGCTCCGATAAATTACCGCTACGTATGCAAATGAAGACATGCAAATTGTACCGCGATAGATAACTTGGCAATATGCTCATCGATAACGCGAATAGTAGGCACTGCATGTTCACGAAGGAAACCGGGCTGCAGAAATACTGATGGATGAAAGTCCAGCGAGCAGTGCATTCGGAACCATTGTCCGTGGTTCTTATCTAGGAGACATGGGTCACCATGCATACGTTTGTTTCTACTGCATCGTTGCACAGCACATCGTTTTCGCAGCTGCCGATGAAAGCACTCGGAGTTAAATGTAATTCCCTTCGTTCCGCTGCCCGCTGGACACTGCACTCAAGACGCTCACCAAGGACAAGACGTACCTAACGATTTCGCGCATAACAGAGAACGGAAGCAAGCGCAGAACACTAAAACACATGAGGGAGTGTGTCGTCGGAGATAAATTTTACGAGCGAGCCTTGCAATGAACCCCCAAATAGTGCAAGGACTGCACTGACTTATAGCGTGGGCAGAGGGCGCTAAAGAGATTTCTTGTAATAATAAAAGCCGTGAAGAATTCTTCGTTCTTAACACCTACATAATATTGTTGGAAAAAAGAAATCTTATTTGTAAAACATATTGATTGCTTGGACTTTGAATCAAATTTGGTTTTTTCACTATTCAGTGCGTGTTCCCTCCTCATGATAGTCACGCTTCAATCGCAGCTCCCGTAACTCCCCATGCTGATGCCGCTGGCAATAGCTTCTGAACCACTTTTCGCCCGAGCCTTCGCGACATATTTGAATAGGCTTTGGTAAGTATACGGAGCAATAAAAAGAAGGCCATTCTCGCGGAAAATGAAGATGCGGCTGTGTGAACCAGCTTTTCTAGCGCTGCCATACATTGTCGTGTATTCTGAGGCAATTGTTTTTGTTTTGAAGAGAATCTCCGACCGTGCAGAATAGGGCATTTGCAGTGTTGTGCGGAATGGCATTTCAAGGAAGGACGTTCCCGGAACATGTTGCTTTTAGAAGGAACGGAGAAACGTCCCCGTTGCCTTCAAAATGGGTGGCAATGTAACGGTAACTCGTTACGTCTACGACGGAGTGGCAGGGGGAGCGGTGTTTCTTCTGTAAACGTTCCACGGCCTTTAACAGGCGCGCGCTCACGCAGCATATCATGCAGAACAGGGCGGATGGCTGACCGCAAGGCACAAAAATGTACTGCTTTACTGCTTACCTGTCACGTAACTATGCTGTATCCTGGTTTTCGCATCAAGGCGCCCGCCCGATGCGCGCGATGCCGACCGCGGCCGACACAACAGCTGCTATGCTCGAGATTTGCCGTCTATCATACAAAAAAAAATATTATCATGAACCAACACGCGCTCGTTTGATCTTCTTATCCTGCTTCACTCTCAGAACGCGCGCACTGAATTGTCCGGCGTGGAATTCAACAACTCCGAAGGGCGAGAAAAGAGATATTGAGTAAGAAGACAAACTCGAGGCAATATATATATATATATATATATATATATATATATATATATATATATATATATATATATATATATATATATATATATATATATATATATATATATATATATATATATCGGCGATGTGAGACTCGAAACCGCCTAGCTACAATCCAACGTCGTAAGTACTGGGCTATCCACTTTCATTTTTCTTTCATAGTATTTAATTATCATCGGCATGACATTTTGAAGTAATGAAATACAATCCGAAAGCTGATATGTTCACTCTATTTGTACCGCTGCACAACGTAGTCACATAGCACTTAAGAATCAGCAGTTATATTTAAAGAGAATATATAAACTAATGGCATTTCCAATCATACACTACAATGGGCTTAAGAATGCATAAACACCTCAACAATGCAAATACGATTCTGCCTGACTTTACATTTGATTCTTAGTACCTCTTAGCTGAGTGACCATCCTGATGAACTGGGATGTTGAGTAAATGATTGGCTACGCCTTTCTCTGCAACACGCGTGCATGCTAGCAGAGCATAGCATAGCTTTGTATAGTATAGTATAATGAAGGGTTGGGAAATGGTAGTGGGGAAAAGGTAGCAGTGATTTGGGTGAGAAGGACGGAAACGAGGAAAGCAGAACGAGAAGATAAAGAGAAGGAGAGAGAAAGAAATAGAAAGAAAGAAGACGAGACTGCAGAGAACGAATGCAGAGAGAGAGAGAGAAAGAGAAAGAGAAAGGAAGATGTATAAAGAGACAGCGAAAAACAGAGAGTAAGAAAAGAAGAAAGAGAGAAGACGATTTAAAAAAAAATAAAACTACTAAGAAATATTCTGACGGACTGCAAACAGGAGACTTCACTGAGTTGCAAATGTGTATTCCGAACATTATTTTCTGCTCACACTAAAACAATGAATGCACACTTATTAGGCGCCTAAGTATTGTCCCTTTCGACGTGGTTTCCTGCGCAAAAAATTTAATGGGGGGACATTTCTATTTGAATATCTCAGGCGCAGTATCTTGACTGCACCGTTGGAGACAGACTTGGAAAGTGCTACATGTGTGGGATGCCTGCAGCTTGACGAGCACACAAGGTGCGCAGTTAGATATGCTTGTATATTATGGTTGGTGTCTCTAAAATTTTCGATTCGGAGCTGTTTATTTTGATTTCTTTTACTTACGTATAAGCCGCTGTTAGCAATGTCATATTCGCATAATATATGTAGCTTCATGGGAGCTTCATGCTGCTTATTTTCTTTCGCTTCAGGATTATCCAGCACTATATACTTTTACATAAAAGGGCACATTTAACGTTATGTAACCACACGTTAAAATTTTCAAAATTATAGCTACAACGCCTTCCTTTCGCATCGCAGAAACTTGTAACGGGAACTCATTGTGAAGGAACGAGGAGCGAGCTTTCGTTGCTGCTGCAGAGAAACGCGGACGACACTGCAAACTTCTTTGGTCTACACGCCTCCATTTGCGTCTTGCTCTCTCCATGATTTGTGTGGGGGAAAAAAAACCTTTGTTGAGTTTCTTGCACTTCGCTGACGCGCAAAAAAACATTTCACAAACTTCATGCACTGAAGGAATATTCAACCGTGATATAATAAAGGCAATAAACCCCCTGCACGCGATTCTGCTTTTCTGGAGCGTAGTCGGGATTTCATGTCGAGCAAGCGTGGAGGGTGGTCTGTACCTTTTTGTATTTATGCTCGTAGATGTGTTGGTGTTTACCCTGGTGTACACATACAAACTGTAAAAAATTTAGGGGATTTAAGACATTCCCAGTTCGGAAATTTTTTATACTTATCGCTTCTCTGGCTGTTGGTTTCTGTTCAGTAGTATGAATAGCACTAATATCTTTTTCAAGATTTGGCTTGTGTGAATTTTCAGTTGTGATTCTTACCGAAGGGGTTTTTTTTTTAAGTGAGACGCATAGTGTGCGTTAGACAACTCCTAGGTCGTAATAGTCACCACTGCGCTTTCGCACATGGTCAGCTGGACCCGGTGCTTTGTTTCGATCCGTACGTGTCGACTTGTCCGACACCTTTGTTACGCGTGAAGATGAATTTGACCTCTTAGACGAGCGGAGTGAACCGGACGCCCGGCGCTGCAGCATGTGCCCCTGACCTAACGCTACTGGTGCCGTCTCCCCCGTGTTGTTCGCCCTGAACTCGACAGCCACTGTGCGAATGCTTTGCGGCTTCTCTTTTGTTGCACTTCGAGGCATGGCGCTGGGAGCGCCGGGATTTGGCACCGCCTGCTCATTCAACGGTTCGAGAGCAATAGGCGGATCGTGTTCACAATCTTTAGTCGACAAAGGCACCACACTCACGCGCGCACCCGGAGAGTTCTCATGTGTCATATTGTTGGCCCGATCGCGACGTTGGGATAAATTGGATAGTTTCTTGCGCAGTGCTCCAACGTCTTCCGGTGCATCAAATCTTGTGCGTTCTTCGTATGCATTGATAGGCTTATCGGGGCTTACTACGTTCTCGATAACGGCGCACTCGGTATCTCGGCGTTTGCCGTCCGACCTTCGATGCCGTAGGCAGACCAGGCATATTACACAATTGACCAGTAGAACGAGCAAGACAAACCCACCGGCTACACTGGCAAGTAGAATGTAAAACTGCTGCTCGGTGAAGTGGTTGAAGTACAAGAGAACTGAAGATGATGCAGTATCATCTGAAGTCCTGTTTAGCACTGTCCCTGCTGTGCTATTTGGTACAGCGTCTTCCACATCTTTTCTTGTGGTGGCGTTAAAGCTTATGGAAGTATTCTCGCTCATGCTGTTCCTCTCAGGTACTGCTGTGGTCATTCCTAAGTGGCCGTCTATTACAACAGCCACAATGTTTGAGATGTCGCTATAGCGGTTGTTCTTGTTCTTCGTTCGAAGAGCGAAATAATAAACGACAGTCTTATCGGGATTTCTGTGTGGAAGCGACAAGGAGGCTGATTCATCGTCCCCGAACATTTGATCTTGTGTGAATTCAATACCAACTTGGTTAGCGAAATCGTTTGACAGGCGTTGTTGGTACAGGGAGTAACGGAGTTCGTAGGTGGAACCAGAACCTGCAAGGAAATCAGGTTTAAAATGCTGAAGCCTCTTGTGTGCAATACATATTATCCAATAAATGCATGCAACATTTCTTCTGGTGGTCCTTCAGCACACACTTCTAGGAAGCGACAAAGGTAGAACTGCAATTTTGAAGATGGCAGACAACGTTTTGTGAGGTGTATATATTTTAACGATATGTGCAGAATTCGTAACATTAAGCAGCCTTTTGCGCAATTATACATATGAAGCATATGGTTATAGAATTCAAATGCTCACTACAAGAAAATTTCAATATTGGGGTCTTTGAGGAATGTCGGCTTGTACGGAAATAGCAATCGTACGGAAAACGTGACGGTTAGTACGGAAATTTAATGTCAGCTTTGTCGGCACCTGACTGTTTCAATCTGCAAGGCATGTAATCATCTGATAATGTTGCTGTACACATCGAGTAGCTCACGCAGAAAACACGTTTTGGGATCTTGGAATATTAACGCGGAACGGTAATACCTTAACGTAAATGGTATGGTCACTGCTAATAAACACCGCGTTACTGGGTATTTTCGGCTAGGCGCAGCTCATTGCCCGGTGCACTAAAAACATAATTATGTTAGCCACATTTCTGCGTGCTGCAAACGTTGAATATATCTTGGCTGCATTCCGAGATGCTTTGTTTTTGCCGATCGTGTGAAAGGCTGCTGCGCCACAATGTCGTAACTAGACATAAACGCGACTTGTCCTATGGTGGAGCGCTCGCTAATTTACTGACAAAAGAAAAAGAAAGACAATAAACTAGAGATGATGTATATAGCTAGCGAGGCGCAAGTTATGATGCACCGTCTTCGAATATATCAATTTACGTAAGGTAATTTCAAAGCACTATATGTATTACATTCACAGCAAGAAAATGAAGCAATATGTTTTGTATAAGTTTCAGGAATTTGTTGCAATTAGCGTCTAATTAAATATTTCATTCTGCAGTCAGTCATATTTAGGTTTGATATAAAAACTATGAAATCATAGGCTACAAATATGTGCACAATTACTTTTTGTTGCAGTCATTTCAAAAATGACAAAAAAAAAAAAAACCACTATCTCCCACTAAAAGTAGTATGCGAAGGTGTGCGTGGGTCAACTTGAAGTTCCGTTCAGTAAGGGCAGCTTGCCCGATGTTAACGCTTCCTTGCAAGGGGAGCACACCAAGTGGCACGACCCGTCGATCATCGTAGTGCCTTTACCAAAGTGGTCGGCTATAGTTATATGCAGCACACTCAGTTTAAGGCAAGACATACTGACTCTGCAGAAGGTTTAATTCGTCTAATAAGTCACGCTTGTTGCTCTTCTTTTGCTACAAGTGGACACAACAGGCATAAACAAGTTGCGTGCACAAACATAGCCCCCGCCACTCAAGTGGATATAACCAGACCACATGCCGAGGAGTGGTGGCGCTGCGCATTTACGAAAGATCCCACTTTGCAAGTGCCGGATCCCAAACAAACCCTTGCGTAAGTTTCCGGCCATTCTTTCTTACCGTCGCCGTTGTCGTACTCGTTTCCAGGAGCTGACCACTGAAAAGTGATGTTGGGCAAATCGATGCGTTTTACGCTCAAGTCACGCACTGTACCAGGCGGAAATGGCGCCTTGTTTTGCTCAGATGCCCAGAAGGAGCCAACGAACTCTTCCCTCTGGAAGGAGGCGCCATGGCTTGCATCGGAGCTGACGGTCGTCGCTTGAATACTTGAGGCCTTCAACAGGACACTGTACCAACCACCTCTCCGAGATGCAGCCAGAAAGTAGCCGCTGTACACGCCGTCACCCTTGGTCACGTCCGGCTCTGCATCCCCAAGCGAAAGTGTGCTTTCTCCGTAAGGTCATATTACAAGAGCAACGAGATGCAAAGTTGGGCTAGTTAGGCAAGATTTTATGCTTGCATAATGAAAAAGCGACAATAAAAAAGCAAAAGAAAAGAACAAGAAAAAAATGCACAGGTTGTTATCCATTGCTTCTCATGGCTGCAGTAACCGCAACAGCATGTACAGCTCTGAGTAACTTCAGCTAATCTTTTTTGCACACCAGTGATCATGCAAAATTAGCCATGACATGGAAAACATGGTACCCCCATCCATTGCCGCATACCATTGAACGACGGCGATGCTAAGTTTGCGTGCGCTGCAGTGTGATGTTATCGGGAGTTCCTTGTCGAGATAAAATGAGCGTGCCGGAGGCCGCAACACGTGCGGCTGCCTACCTTACCCTTACATCAATGGCTGGAGGTGAGGGCACTAAGACAAGCTGTTGGAGTACTTCAATGCTAGGAAATCTTTGGAACCACTTTGTTATTTTCCTTTCGGGTAGGGTAAGGGCTCATCATCGGGGGATTGCTGGCCACGCCCGTACAATCGGGAACACTGTAAAAATCGGCATCTCCCGGGCGAATCGGGAGAGTTTGCCAGTATGAAGGTATAATCATTCCGTGCCTTTTATCACTGAAGCTGTTCTTAGTCCAGGCGTTGCTGTCCGTTCACGTAGCGCTGCTCACGGGGTATTGCGGCGTGATGACAGTATGACTCGTTGTAAGAAAACGGGTTTCGCCACGCCAAGGTGAGCGAGCGCGAGGTTCGGTGAAAAGGGTGATGCAATGAGAGGCGCACAAGTATAGGTGAAAGTGACCCTGAAGAAAGGGCCGCCGGATTTGCTATTTCGACAGCGTTCGCGAAGTAGAGCTGGCCGCACTTTTCATTTCTCTTCAAGCTTTACGAAGCAGGCATGGTGGGACGATTGTTTGGTACGACGCGTGACAGATGGTCTGGAAATTTTGTACATTTGTATAAACTTTACTGAAGCAGAGAAGCAAAAAAATATTACATTTTCAGATGAGTGCATGGCCACTTCATTTGCATGCAAAAGCCAAAAAAGAGGAAGCAGTCATTTGCAAGAAAAAAAAGAAAGATTTTTAGAACAAGAGACTGGTTAAATAGCGACGTATGCGAACTAAATGTAGCTATAAGTATTCTTCACGATTCTTTTTTTTTTATTCTACCTGTACATTGACTTTTGTCTTATAAGCCCGTGCCCACTGGTACACAAACCTAGAATCCAGCAAAGCAAGAAAGTTGGTGCCACGACGTAATAAGTGTGGTCACGATGTGACGTACCCCATGCGACGTACCCAGAAGTCCATTGTCCCGAAGCTGGACGACTGTAGTGGTTACCGTGTTTTGCGTTGCGTAATAGACGACAGCCTCCACATTGGCTCCCTTAACAGGTTGCTCGCCGTACAGGAGTTCGGCGTACAGTATTTGCGGAAGCGGCGTGTCTACCTGTGTAGAAAATGCGGAATCAAGTGGTCCATATTTTGTCAGGCTTTAAGTTTAACAAATTGAGGCTTTACATACGCGTTATAAACGCGATAACTTTTGCACTCACTCCGAATTATTTGTGCGTGAGCAAATAATCATTGCCTTCACATGTTTAGCAAAGTACGCTTCCTTAGAAATTTAAGAAGATGCTTTATAATTGAGGTTTCCTTCTCTGCAGGTGACACCACAATTTAGATGTATTTATAACGGTAAAAGTACTATATAGTACATGCGTTTTAAAATAGAGCTTTTTTGACTCCGCGCCTTCTAAATAATCAACCTTTCCTTGCTCGGTTAGTGCAAGACAAGTGCACTGCTACCCGCCATGGTGGTCTAGTGGTTATGGTGCTCGACTGCTGATCTAAAAGTCGCGGGATCGAATCCCGGTCATCCTGACTGCATTTCGATGAAGGCAAAATGCCATAGGCTGGTGTGATTAGAATTAGGTGCAGGTTAAATAAACCCAGGTGTGTGAAACTTCCGGAGTCCTCCAGTACGGCGTCTCTCATAATCATTGTGAGAAACAAAAAAGGGGACCCGGACCCGATCGTCTGGCTGCGTTGAAGGTCAAGGGATCAACTGAGCGAGCCAGTGCACCTGGCTCGTACTCGTGCCCACCTCCCCTTCTTCCTCCTTTATTTCCAACAATCATGTCGTGGTTGTTGAACGTAAACCCCATTCATTAATATTGTTAAGTGCACCACTACAATACGTACTCGTACATATATCATGGCTAGAAGAGTTTCTCAAATTCACAGAAGAAAAACATCGTTCGGTGTCCGGTATTTTTGTCAAGACTGTGCTTTCGTCTGTAAACTCAGTGTTATAAAATGCAAAGCAGTGCAATTTTCGGTTGTATTGGCATCTGCTTGTCGTCTGTGTCGGGGACTGCCACGGGAGATTCCACTGAGCGTACTAGTTACGTTATATCTTGGCTGTTGTTCGACCAGTTGGTACGACAGCAATACGCATCATGAACAGCCTTGCTATTAGGGCTACTCAAGAAGAACTTTGGCCGGAAAAGCGGCCACCCAGTTTTTGTTGCGTTCAAAAATAAATAAATCAATCAACAAAAATTAAGGCAGCTTCGAACAAGTAGTGCCAAGCCTGAAGGAAGTGCGGAGCTGGGCAGCCTTTGTTTTTATTCGTTTCTGATTTTCCTGTTCTCGTTTAGCTTTTTTCTGTGTTTTTCTCTCTTTAGTTTTATTTCCATTTTTTTCTCTCTCTCTCTCTTCCTATTTCTCGCTCGCTCCATCTTTCAGTTTTTATGCATGGTTTGTGTAGTCGCGTTTTCATGTATGAGTAATGTTTGCACTTTATCCCATCATCATCAGGGCGAAGATTTCTCTTCGGCGCGAGCGCGTGCTCGATATGCTACAGTTGGCTATGCTTTATGTAATTTAGCCTGCGTTTCTATTGCTAGGAAGCAATAAGCTCTCTTAATGAAGCCATTCGATGATTACTTGGAAAAGTGCCCCAGGGCTCCTTTGAGGTAACACAGACAAGAAAAAGGAAAAAGAAAAAATAGCTTTAAAGTACCCCCCCCACCCCTCTCTTTTCATTTCGATTACATACCCTGTTTCTGCGGAACCATCCACGTATGCGGAGTCTTGGTTCATGCCCAGAGCCCCGAATGCTTGCCATTAATGAACAGCGTTGGCTGATTTGCCGTGCCCTGACCGCATAATCAACGTTCACGATGTCTGAGTCCTGCGTATGGGAAAGAAGAAAAATAGGAGTAAACATAAACAGCAGTATGCTTACACAGAGGCCAGAGAATGCAGCAAAGGCGACGTGTTGCCATAAGCAAAATGCCGCAGTCGATTAGGCAAGCTGACGTGAACTTGCGAAGTCGTTGAATTAAGAAAGGGCTGCCGACAGATACGCTTTCGAGGAGCTTCTGGTGTTTCACTGCTTCTTCGTCTTTTGCGATATTCCGAGTGTTTTAGGAATGCGATCACCGCGCAGTATGTCTGTGCAGCGTAATGGATGTGTTTTTTATATCTGCTTGTGTTTTAACGCGCCTAATTGTTATATTATTATATTTTACTCACACAACGGAAGCGTTAAATGATGGCTCTCTTCACCACCAATATGGCGTAACGTATATTGGTGAAATAGAAGCGAGGAAAAACTGGTATACACAGGAAGGATATGCTTGTGAACAAATTTATTGATTACAATCTCACCCTAATGGTTCACAAGGGGAAAATACTCAGCTTACTATGAAGGGGGCCGGTATTCATCATTTTGGGAAGGAATCGAACCGCATGCACGCGATTTTCTAACGACAGCGACACTGGATTGGACAAACTTCATTTGTGCCTGCAGTTCAAACGACAGGGACGAGCGACAAGATTCGCTGTCGCCGAGGCCCACCCCGTCGGCGCCGCTTGTCTCGTCGCCCGTTTCTGGAAAACTAGATAAGATCCGCTTGTAGCCCAGACGCCAGCGAGGCGATTTCCGGCAACTGCACTCCTGGTCCTCACTTCGTTTGCAATTTGCTCTCGATGCTTGTTATCAGTGCATACTTCAAAGAATGCAAGGTATTGACTATCTTTTTAAGTGTGAATACACTTTATAAGCGACCCCAAACCATCCACCGCCATCGGCGGCGTCCGCAGTCTTCTCTCTATCTTTAAAAGAAAGAGGACTTAGCGGGCCGCAGTGCGACGCTCTACCGAATAAGCCACGGACGCGACGCTGATACCGGTGTCAGTAACGCGCCTTATACCCCCTCCCCCTTCGCTCGCTCCTCCGCTCTCCTCGCTCGCTGCAGCTGCGCGCGCACCCCTCTCTCTCGCGCGCCCGCCTTCTCTCTCAGTCTCCCGTCGAGAGCGGGTCGTGCGATGGATGTCCTGGAGACAACGCTACCATCAACAACGAATGCAGTACAACCGAATGCCAGCACTGCACCCGTCGTTGGAGGTGACGGTACCGCGGTGGTTTCGCCGACGTTGGAAGACAAGGCGGCGCTGCGAAGGGCTCGTGAGACCGAACGTAAGCGGGCGAAGCGTGCAGCGGATGCCGAACTGCGTGCTCGCGAGGCCGAGTGCAAGCGGGCGAAGCGTGCAGCGGATGCCGAACTGCGCGCTCGCGAGGCCGAGGACAAGCGGGCGAAGCGTGCAGAGGATGCCGAACTTCGCGCTCGCGAGACCGAGGACAAGCGGGCGAAGCGTGCAGCGGATGGAGAACTGCGCGCTCGTGAAGCCGAGATGAGGCGTCAGCATCGAGCCGCGAACGCGGCCCAAGATGTGGAACGACAACGCAAGCGTCAGGCGGAGAAGGGCGATGAAGGCCGGCGTCAAGACGCCGCTCGCAATCGTCAACGGCGAGTGGACGTTCCCGAAGCCGTTCCAGCCAGTGAACGTGCCGCGCGGGAGAGGGTGCGAGCCCTGGACTTTGCTCGTCCGGACGCGTCGTGAAGTGTAAATAAATAATACTTCGTATATAATGTATCTGTGTACAAATGCTTCATGACAAACAACACTTAAATTCATTAATTACACTTTAATCATCATCATCAGTAATAAAACTCCCAAGCATTTCCCCGAGGGTGAACATGGTTAAGTGCGAATGCATGGGGTGATGCTATGAGGGGGAGTAAAGGTAAAATTCGTTGGCATTCGCCAGTGAGTTAACGTAAACTCCCCCGTGTGATCAAATTGCGATTCCCAGGAACCATTACACCATAAAGGCACCATAGTGTGTATAATAAATATAATAGTGCGAATTAATAAATACCCCTCATAGCATCACCCCGTGCATTCGCACTTAACCATGTTCACCCTCGGGGAAATGCTTGGGAATTTTTTACATTCTCATATCGCGCGGAGAGAGAGAGTGGCCGTATTTTCTCGCAAACCTTGTTATCGAATGTTTGTTTTGATGTCTCGATGCAAGCTTGTGTCAATTTGGTCGCTTGCGGCAATGTGAAATCGTCATGCGAAATGCGTCGTAGCCGTCGTAGCGTATACGCTTCCAGGCAGCCTGTTGCGGTTAAACCAGAGATTGCGAAAAAAGAAGGCCGTTAAATGCTTTTGTAGCTTCCTTAAGCCAAACAAAGCAGTAATAAATGTGGCATGTTGACATTGACCAACTTTTAAACTTCTATTTGCAATTGATAGGTATGCACGCAATATTTTTCATTCAAACATTAATGACACTTAGTCGCCGACATGCGGTTGCAGCCGTCACGATGCGACGGCGCGATGGAGCAAGTATGTCGCTGGCGCTTGTCGCTGTCGCTAGAACATCGCATGCATGTGGTTGGGCCTTAAGGTGTTATCATGTTCAGCAATAATTTACATAACTTGCCACGAGTGACTGAGGACCTTACCCGACGAAATATAAGATTGTGGAGATTATTGCGAACTAGACTAGCGTTATGTCAAGTAGCCTAGCCGGAATAGAATTAAATAAAAGTAGCCTGTAAAACTTCTGCAGGAGTATTCTCATTTGGACACAGAAAACCAGGCTTAAGAGAAGCAAATCTATATAACAAAAAATTTGTCTTAGTACAAATCAAAAGGACTACCAAGTCATGATTGCATGGTACTAAGCGCTATAAAATAAATGGAAGGAGTACAGTCATTGCATTTTACCACTACAGAAGTATGATGAAGAAACTTGGTGCATTACAATAGAACTTCAGAGCTAAAGACTGTACAACAAGCAATGAAATTGAGATTGACAGCGAAGCATTACTAAAAGAGGGCAGTATGAATGCTAACATGCATAAGAAATGTAGAAAATCAGTTATACGGACATCCGCATAGTAGAGAAATGATTGAAACCGAAGACATATAGTATAAAACCATCTTGAACTGCACCTTTAAGGTGGGAAGTTCAGTTAAGAGAGGGAAGTCATTATGTCGCGGCACCATTTCGTACCTCAGTGAGCACGTGTTCCGTGGCAAACATAGACATCTTGACCCGGTGAGATGGCACCACAGTCCCGTTGAAGATTACATCACCTTCTTCAATGCTGTACACGTCAGGGCAGGCTAGTATGAATGAAAGCACGTTGGAATCAAAGGACTTGAAGCTGAAGTTGCCACTGATGCCGTTTCGTAGATTCACGTCTGTCTTCTGGAATACCTGCATTTGGTTTCTACTGTTGTGCACAAGCTTCATTGTTTAATTTTCTCCTGAACTAACTAACTAACTAACTAACTAACTAACTAACTAACTAACTAACTAACTAACTAACTAACTAACTAACTGAATAAATATATGAATAAATAAATGAATCTGTGCATTTCGAAATAAGTAGAGCGAAGTGGCTTGTAAGAACTGCTACCCTTCCGTGCAGGTATGCATATGAGATTCGCTGGGCAGGGTTTTTTTGATTAAATATCTGAGGAATACATCGGAACACAGACACTCTAGGAGAATCAAACAACATAAACTTGCTTTGAGATACTTTGATTATCTTCAAGTTTTAAAGACCCGCCACAAGAACAAAATGGGGCACAAAATATAATTAGCTAAGATTCAATTCATGTGAACCAAGTTATCACGAGCGAAATGTATATTAGGCTTGACTTTTGTTGCAAATACAAGATCACAGCTGCAGTAACTGCTACCTTAGCTCGCTTACGCCCTTCGTAAATTTCCTACAACGTGTTAATCTGACTTCCATTCGTTCCGGTTTTTCAGCAGGTAACGTTTTGTTTTGCTTGAGATTTTGCAGCGTGGCGTGTAGCTATGTGTACTGGATGACTGGGCTTCTTGTCGCTTGTGCTGAAGCGCACGCGCGGACAGCCCACTCGATGCGTCATCTATTGCGAGACTGTTCATCGAGCGCCAGCGAACCAGCCGTTAAACCACCTAGTCACGTGGCATCGCAGCGGTGAGACTCCGAGAAAGCTCAGCTGCGACGCCTCTCCGCAGCTGATCACGTGGCGTCATTTGGAGCGAGAAACCTGTAGCAGGGACAACAGATCAGCGGAGCTGCCAGGGCGGCATGCAGAAACTTTTTTTTTTCGGTGAGGGGGGCACCTCCTTGATCTAATGGGGGGCCGGGCAAACAAATGGTCATTTTGCGTATGTATGCATGGCGAAATTCGAGGAGGGGGGTACGGCCCGTAATTCTACCCCTGGCTACGCCACTGGCAGCTGTGGTTGTAGCCTTCGGGAGGCGAAAGCATTTCGCTATTTTTGTTTAACTCGCGTCTCGAGCCATGAGGCTCTTCACTCTCCAAAGCTGACATTCAAAGATATTACGACCTATTACAGGATCAGCATCGTCAATAACCACCTCCTGCAAAGGGGCTGGGGAAAGTTAATGAACGCATCTTGCTGAGGATCTTCACCAATACTTTATTGTACGTGGCAACCATGCAACGTTTCAATTCTTCCTTCACTGGCAAGTGCAAATACTGTGGGCAGGTGGCTGACACCTACCATATCGTTTGGGCTTGCCAGCTCAACTCAGCTCTTCGCTCCAACCTTAACCCAAACAGAGAGGAGTGGGAGGCGACCTTGCTGGTTTGCTTGGACCTTCAAGCCCAAAGGGCCCTGGTCCAAAGGGATAGGTTAACAAGTGTCACCAATGGAATCCCGAAATAAGGACTCCACCCACTATGAAGCCTCTAAAGAGCTGCACCTCTCCTTTTTTTCAATAAATGTTTTCACTCATTCACTCCCAAAGCCGACTAGACGCACCTTGTGCTTGCGCTTCGAAGGTACAGGGTCATTGTGACGCTATATGAATGATCTTACGAGGCGTGTGGAGTAGTAGAGCTTTCGTCATAATAATGTAATTCCTGGCTCATTAGCAAGACTATTCTTGGTCGAATCTCGCAAATTTGTAAGCAGTTTTTGCGTAGCTGTCGTGGTATTTTCATAAAAATAATTGCTACCTTAAGAAAAAATATTGCTACTGTAAGGAATAAGCAGTGGTACTGTCAATAATCTAGCGCCACCTCCTCTGATATAGCTGTTAGGAGGCGGAAATTTACATGCTTTGACTGTGCAATATCAGCTGTGTATGACCGTGCGTCGTCTTCAAAAAATGCAAATCGGTTCAATAAAATACAGGAGCTAAGATTTGAATTGTCCTCTGCTCCGACGTTGGCGATGAACATTGCTTGCGAGTGGGTGCTGACTCTGACATTATTATTGCTCCTCTCTCGGTCACTGTACTATGTACTTGTTACCTATGCTGTGTGCCCATCTCTTTTTTTACGCCGTCATTCACTTGCGTGCGCCATTCGAGCTTATTGCTCCCGTTTGTCGTCACGTCAGAATGCTTGGGGACAAACTTTATAAGGCCAAGTCGTGAGGTCTGATCGCGGCCGCATTTTCGATGGAGGCAAAAACGCTTGATTGAGGCCCATGTACTTCAATTTACGTGCGCGTTAAAGAACCCCAGGTAGTGAATGGAGATTTTACTATATGTCTTGTGAATTTGGCAAGAAAATACCAAACCATTATAAAAAATAGTAATAAATATGCCAGTTTACTATATTCTTGGGCCCCGACGTCGTGGTTTAGTGGCTTAAGTACTAGACTGCTGACCCGCAGGTCGCGAGATCAAATCCCGGCTGCGGAGGCTGCATTTTCGATGGAGGCGAAAATGATGTAGGTTCGTGTGTTCAGATTTGGCTGCACGTCAAGAAAAACCACAGGTGTCGCAGTGCAGAGCCATCGTGGAAAACGCCTTCGTGGACCATAGTCACCTTTGTGCCTGGGTTCAAGAGCAAGAAACGCACACCCGAACCAGCACTCAGATATTTCACTCAAGAAAATGTGGAAAACAGCTACAGAGCTCATCGTCACTTTTACACTGACGGCTGTGTTACGTATACATCATCTGCCATTGGCGTCTGGATTCCATCTGTCAATGTCTCCATCTCTACCACTCTCAATCACTGCACCTCATCTACAGCCACCGAACTGGCTGCACTGCGGGCTGCAATGAATTACACCGTGGACCAGACAGCAAAGTCCTGGGTCATCTTCACTGACTCAATTCATTGACTCAAGAGCAGCGCTGCAGTCCCTGAAGTCTCCACGCACACAGGATCAACTCGTCACGGACATCAAACGCCTATGCAAGAAAGCATGTGACCTCCATCACCGCATTTTTCTGCAGTTGATACCTGCCCACTGAAGAATACAAGGCAATGTCCGGGCTGATGACGCTGCCAAAGCTGGACATGACACTTCTGCAGAAATCTTCGATACACCTTTCTCGAGGCACGACGCTGCAACGCTAGTGTCGGCACACGCTTGGCACCTTTGGTGATCCCTCTGGACAGACCCTAGCCAACAGTATGGGCCTCTGTACAAGATCGATCCATCGTGTCGCTTCAGGATGCCGCGAAACCTCAACAGGCATTGTAAGATGAATAATGCTTACACTGCATCTGATTAAAGGTTGCATATATGAATTACTTCAGCAACAAAATTGGACTGTCAGACTCGGCATTTTGTGCACTATGTAACGTCGTTGAAGACATCAATCATGTCCTCTGTGAGTGCACGGTATACGCATCAAAGACAGTCTCTGAAGATGTCCTCAAAGATACAATCGGACGCAAACTTAGAGTTGAAAAATATTCTAGGCTTACGGCAGAACAGCTCCAGTGCGTTAGACTCCACAAAAGTGCTACTGACATTTTTACCGGCTACATGCTAGAATGAAATGTTGTAAATAGTTCAGTGCTGTGAGAGACTGTACGTGTTATGTAGCTGTTATGCGTGTATTTACCTGTATGTGCTGTGTGTTCATCATTATATATAATTGTCATCACCCGGCACCTGGAGTAGCCTGTGAGATGAAAAACCAGGCAAACCTCTCCAGCTCCCCAATTAATTAATGTTCTCTCTCTCTCATAATCACATCGTGGTTTTGGGACGTTAAACCCTGGCAATTATTATTATTATTATTATTATTATTATTATTAAGCTTTTTAAGGCGAATGCTTTAGGTGTCTCATCAAGCGCGAAAATTGGCTGTTGCCGTCAGCGACGTCGACTCGAGTGATGCAACGAATCCTCATCCCACGACGATAGGACGTCATCATGGTGTCGCATGATGATTTCATCACATGATACCGTCGTTTGGCCAAAGGGGGGCTGATCGCGGAAACAATGCAAAAACAGGTGAGATGCAGAAAGCTTGCCATGCCTGAGATCGTAGAGGCATGGCTGTGTAGATCTATGTCAGATGCAGAAAGCTTTTGGAGAGGAGCGGGGGAGGATCAGTACATCGACTGAGAAATAGCAGAGGAGGATGACTGTTTCTCTCCGCTGTTTAGTTGTCTGGGGCGGATGCATAAGGTACACTGCGAGTTTTTTATTGCGTTCTCCTGGCTAATATATGCCCAATGCCAGGGTTGCCGGGGCTACTTTTCGCTGAATTAGTTACATGATGACCCCATCTGGCGACGAGAATTTCAGGTTTTCTCCGTGCCTAATTTTGGCTACTTTTGAACTTCTATTTTGACGCATTAAGTAGCCATTTTACATATTATTTGCAGAAAAAAACATACCTTTTCTAAGCTTTTCTGCCATGTGAGATGATGCGCTGTTGCGCGCGCGTGTCCCCCCGCCAACAGCAAGTTGGGGATCATCAAGGCACCCCATCGCGGGCGCAACGAAGTTGCGTACAGGTTGGCAAACGTGCCGCTAGAGTTCCTGCTCCCTACGGGCACTACGGGAGCAGAGTTGCGCATAGGTCCGCCATCTGCCTAGCTAGCAACCATAGTTGTGCGGTGAAGCCGTGCTGTTCTTGCAGAAGACTTGCTTAATCTTGTCGCCGAGCGACGAAGCGCGTGGCCGATCACTAGTCGACGTGCCTGGCGTGTAAACGACCGGCGAAGAAAGAAGAAACACCTCCTTTCGGGACTGTGCCACGGGAGTACAAGAGCATTTTTTAGTCTCTCTGGTTACGCAAAGCGTAATTTCCGAAAATGGTGGCAAATCCACCCAAATACTTTGCTGTCGAAGCTTAAGGAGATGGATCTATAGCAAATAAAATTACCAGTTTGTAGCCTACAGAGCGCACGACGTTCACTTGACAGATTCCAGGGGGACGGCGACCGCTTTCGGTGGTGCAGCCACGTTTTTCGGACGTGGCCTCTGCATCA